ACAAATGACCCCAAACAAGGCACAGAGAGATATGTACAAGATAGAGAGTTAAACATAAAAGGACAGGATTACATGAGTTAGAACATGTCTAACAGGAATTCCAGAAGGAGAAATAAGAAAAAACAGAGGAAAGATAAAAGTCAAAGAGATAATGATATAGTTTTTCAGACTTTATGAAAATCATGAATCCTCAAGTTTAGAAAACAAAATAGATCCTGAGCAGGAAATAGAAAGTAAAACACACATATAAACACACCATATTGAAAATTCAGTATGCCAAAGACAAGAAGAGCTCTTGAATTCAACTAGTGAGGAAACTCAAATTATCTACGAATTAGACTGGCAGCTGACTTCTCAAAAGCAGAGCTGAAGCCAGGATATAGCGGAATAATGACTTCGAAGTATGAGATCAAAGAACTGTCAACCCAACAATTTAATATCCAACTAAAGTAGCATTCAAAAATGAGGACAGAATAAAATACCTTCAGGAAAACGAACACCAAACTGAGAGTTATAACCAGGTAGAGCCCACTAAAGAGATTTCGTTCTAAAGAGAGCACCTTGGAGTGTGAAGAATGAGCCAAAATTAAACAGTGGGATCCAAAAAGAAAAGTGAGCCAAGAAATTGACAAACATGCCGATAAATCTAAACAATCACTGTCTATGTGAACCAATTACAATATTGAGTAAAGTGGGGAAAAGTGAGGTGGCACTCGAAAACACTGAGTGACAACGACATGGAAATCAGGAGAGAGTTAGTGGCGTTGAAATGTTTTAAGGTCATTTTGGAAAGATAAACTTCGAGTCAAAAATTGTCAAGGAAAGTCTAAAAGAATAAAAATAAAGTATATAATTTCCAAGCCAAGGGAAAAAATGAACTAATTTGAATAAAAGAAAAAGAACTCAGGAAAGAAGGGGCAAAATAAGTATAAAAAGGCAGGGTAAACGGAAAGACTAAAATAAAATGTTCAAATAAATTTGATAAATCAGTAATATTACTACTAATAATAAATATAAATGGGCTACGCTCACCAGTTAAAAGAAAAAGATCTCACATTAAATTAAAATCAAACAAATCCAACTACATGCTAGAAGAAAAACACAATAAAAGTAAAGAACAATTGATGGCAAAAGGAACCAAAAAAGATAAACCAAGCAAATATCAACCGAAAGAAGGTAGTGTAGCTATAGCTACATTAAGATCAGACAAAATAAAATTTAAGGCAAAGAGCACTGTTAAAAATAACGGGAGTTGCCACAAAATTATTATTAAAAATGTCACCGGGAAGATACAATTCTAAACTTGTAAGAATCTAATAACATAGATTGACCTTTTTTTTTGGTCTGTTTTATTTACAGAGGCATTTTAAGAATATAGAGCAGTGCCTGGCACATAACAGCTGCCTAATACATACTTGCTGAGTGTCTGAATTAATCAAAATGAAAAAAGGTCACAATGATAGAGACTGGACAATACAATTAACAAGCATAATCTAATGAACCCTCCTGGAACCCTGCCCTCCCAAGTCAATACATTCTTCTCAAGCATACACGGAATATTTATGAAAACTTACCATGTGCATTCTCTGACCACAATACGATTAAGTTAGAAATCAATAACAACAACAAACAATAAAATTCCATGCATTATAGAATGTAAAATACACTTATAAACAACTCAAGGAAGAAATCATAATGAAGATTATGCAAACAGAAGATTGTAGGAAACAGAACTTAATGATAAGAAAAATATTACATCTTAAAATTTGTGGTAAGTAGCTAAAGATTACCTAGAGGGAAATCTAGGTTTATATGCATAAATAAGAAAGACAATAAAAATTGATGAGCTACACATTTAAATTAAGAAGTTGAAAAAAAGACCTATAAAGTAAACACAAAGAAAATACAAGAAAGGAAATAATAAAGAGAGCAGAAATTATCGAAATAAAAAAATAAAGGAACAAAAACGTCAAAAGCAGGTTTTTTGGAAATAGATAAAACTCTGGCAATAGTGATTGTGTTTTTTAAAAAAAGGTAAGGCTTACTATTAGCAATAAAAAGGGATCAAATTTCAGACATAGCAGAGATCTAAAAAATAGAACATTAAGAAATACCTGGTGATTGGATAAAGAAGATACGGTGTGTGTACACACACACACACACACACACACACACACACACACAACGGAATATTACTCAGCCATAAGAAAAGATGAAATACTGCCATTTGGGACAACATGGGTTCATCTCGAGATAATGATGCTGAGCGAAATGTCACATAGAAAAAGTTGGAAAACATGATTTCACTCATATGAGGGATATAAAACTGAAAGAAACATGACAAATGAACAGAGACTCATGGACATGGACGTTGGGTTAGTGGTTACCAGAGGGAGTCGGGGAGGGAAGAGGTAGATGGGGTAAAAGGGGTCAAAATTTGGTGATGGAAGGAAATCTAACTTTGGGTGGTCGACACACAATGGAATATATATGTGATATACTGTTGAATTGTACACTTAAAACATTTGATTTTATTAATTGCTGTCATCGCCGCAATAATTTTTAATAAAAAAATACTTGGCACTAATATATTCAAAAATAAACAAAAAGGACAATTTCCTAGAAAAAAATATAATTCGTCCAAACTATGGAAAAAATAGAAAACCTGAACAAATCTATAATTATTAAATACATTAAATCACTAGTTAAAAGTCTGCTCACCAGAGCCAGATGAGATCTACCAATCAATCAACAGTTCGTCTTTATTTTATACGAAATCTTCCAAAGAACAATAGGACTTATTCCCACTTCGGTAATGAAGATAAGAACACCTTGATATGAAAACCAGGCAGGGATGGTTCAATAGAGAGAGGACTTTTATGAGCCAAACTCATTTAAGAATGTAGGTGCAAAAGTCTAAAATACCAGCAAATGTAAGCCAGGAATGAATAACACATAATAATACATCATGACTCAACTGGGTTCAATCCCAGGAGATCAAGGATGGTTTAACATTAGAAGGTCTATTAATATATCTCGCCACATGAACAAATTAGAGAAGAAAATCATACAATCTTCTCTGTAGAGGCAGAAAAAGCACGTGATAAAATTCAACACCCACCCATGATTAAAATATAAACAATTTAGCAACAAGAAACATAAGTGGTCTTCTTTACCTGATATCAAGTACCTATCAGAACGTACTTCACTGTAACATTATGAAATAATTCTCCTTAAAATCAGAAACATGACAAGGACGCCCAAAAGTATTCGACATTGTACTAGGGTTCCCCGCCGGTACAAAAATAACGGAAAATAATTAAGCTTTCAGAGAAAAAGACAAAGGCAAACGTGCCTGCAGATGGGGGACATCCTCGCCCTCACGGAGGTCTCTGACAAGTGGCTGGGTTCCGTGCCAGCCGGCTGAGAACTCTAGGGTTCCAGAGGACCTGGGTTTTCAGGGGTCCAGACTTTCCCCATCTGTGTGTCTCTCGTTCTCTTTAAAATCCACAGTTGTGTTTCCTCTGGGAAGATGTCTACCACTGTCTGAGTCTTCACTGTGTACCAAAGCCTTTTAAGAACCTGAACGTCCAGGTGGGCCAAGGGCTCCGTTCAGTCCACCCCCCGCGTGGTGTCGGCCGCGCTGAGTGTGGGCCCCGTACAAAGCCACTCTTCTGCTCGCTCCAGGAACCCTCGCATTCTCTATCACTACCAGCGGGCTTTGTCCTTGTTCCCCGCAAGCTACTCTCGGATAATACTCAGTCTTTTTTTAAAAGTCCCATCTCAGTATTTGGTAGGGGAGTTGTATTTAATTTGCTTTCTTCTTGGTTCTTTAAGTGCCTTGCTCTTGTGGTTTTCCTGAGTATTTTTGTACAATGAGTCACTCTGAGCAACTGACTGGGAATGTAGGAAGAAGGCTTCTTCTGATATTTTGATTCGCTGTGTGATTGACCCTGGGCCAGTCACTAACCCTAATCAAGGAACTTCATTCATTGCTAAATAAAGATAACAGGCCTGAAAAGATGGGTTAAGATTAGACCCTGCCACCTAATGAATGTTAGTTTCTTCCTATAACATTTCCATTTGGGGAAGATCTCCTATTTTGTAGTTGCCTAGCTGTGGCCCTTTGACGCCTCTCTGTCCTGTCCTCTGTCACCTCTCCATTTGTTTATTTAACTTCACTGCTTAGTTCCAATGAAGAATCATGGCACTCTGTGATAATCAGCCCCAAATCAAGTTTTGATATTGTCAGTGACCAGCAGTAAAAAAAGAAAAGGGAAGGGAAGAAAAGGGGAGGGAAAGGGAGGGGAGGGGAGGGGAGAGAAAAGTCGAAGAAAAAGTGCTCTTAGACACAGAAGTCCTGATTCAGATTTAAGCTCTCCCATGTACTAATGTTGTGATCTTAAGACAGTCAACCTCTTCGAGTTACTTTTTCTAATTTATAAAATGGCAGCCACAAGACTCTATCTTTTTACCTCACAGGGCAATTGTTACGAAAATCAGACAATGAGCATGGATGGTGCTTTCAAAAACTATAAAGTACTATAGATTTGATTTCATATTAACTGGATAATTCTATTCACAGATGCAAGATTTAGTCATAACACATATGCGTAGGTCTTAAGTGATATCCATTCACACCAAACGTATATTATTAAAAATTATCACTGAGTAATTTGTAAGTATGTAAACTACAAATTCAGGGCAGGAAACACTTGAGAGTAATAAAACATAGCTTAAGAACGGAAGCACCGTGATTTGGATGCCCGCTGGAAAAGCATGGAATAAACTAATTCACACCTGAAGATCCCGTTTATTCTAACTTAATGTTTGAATTCATACCTATGATGGAAGCTAAAAATACAAGATACATGAAAGGAAAACTGATGAGTTGACGAATTTCAAGTTGGAGCCAAAGGAACTATTACAAATATGACCTTTGGATCATGTGGAAATTCAAGGGAGAGAGTCTAAAGACAGAAGCAGCTTCATTGTCTTACCTTTGTTCTGTATTGAAGAGCGCAAAGATGTGCTTGCTCGACATAAAGCCCTTCTCCACATCCCGAACTTTCAGGTTGTCCAAGGGGAGCATGTACTTCTTCTCTTTTTCCTATTTTTGAGAGAGAGAGAGAGAGAGAAGGCTTTAATCGAAGATCTTGAAGCATGCCAATGGCAACATATCATCTGAGCTGGCCAACACATGATTATAATATTGTGATACCATCACACACTTTGTTGATACCAGCTACCAAGGGACGAAAGTTGTCTGAGATAGGTGTCTCCGGTGATTCTCGACACGTGGGTGGGAGAGGGGAGGGGAGGGCAGAGGAAGGGAGGGCTCGGCGATGAAGGAAACATGGGGTCCTCTAGCCTTTCTTCCTCGCGTGGGTCCCCCTTAGATGCTTTTAAATGTTAGTTTGATATTAAGAATTTAGCCATCTGTTAATATTTAACAAACAATGTTCTGGTCCTAATTCAATGAGAAATGCCACATGGATTTCATTTCATATTTTATTTGCAGCCTAAGCAGTTTTGATAGCCAGTGCTGGCAGGGGGCTGGAAGCAGAAGGACCCCGGAATGACATGCCCCCTGCATATTATGATAAAGTACAGAAAATACTTTCTTCATTTGGGTCTAGAATAAAATGCAGGAGAAAAAAAATTATTCCATTAAACTCTTTAGCTCTTTGAGGGGAAAAAAGAAAAGAACCCATTAGAAGTAGACCGATCTTAACTATAACAAATTCTCTTTTAAAATGAACAATTCTTTAGGAAGAAAATGGACACTGGAGAGGGGAGGTCTGCAAATGGGACCAAACTGGTCTCAGTAAAGCATCCTGGACGCCAAAGAATTACTAGAAACATTTACTTTCATGGACTCGCCCAGGGGTGATATTATTATAGGTATAAACGCTTTACTTCAGAAACGCAGTCGAGATCTGTTCCTGGGGCGTTTGCGGCCCGTTCCGTGTGACTGTCCCCTCCATGGGCCCAGCCTCCATCTCTGGTGCTAGTCCTGAGAAAAAGCAGGATTAGACTCAGGAGGAGGGGAGCGTGGAGACTTAGCGGTGACTTTTACTAAACAGCTACTAACGCCTTTCCTTGGGGAGATTTGCACCGTGCAGGTATGTCCTACGGAAGCCTTTTGGTCCCTGCAGCTCCTGCAACACTGGCCTGAGATCTGCGGCTCAGCAGGACAGAGCAGCCCTCTGCTGTGCTCCCGAGCCAGCTGTGGGGCCTGCCGTCTGCGCGCCCCTTCGAGAGTTACCCAAGGGAGCACCACGGGCTTTGCTGCTTCTTACTCCTCAATTAATCAGAGAAAAACTGGGCAAAGCCCAATGAAATAGTGAGGCGGAGAGAAACAGATGACTAAAGAAGGAAGTTGAAGGAAGTCAGTCAGAGAACAAAATGGCTGTCTTGGCAGACGATGTCATCAAAGATTAAAAAAAAAAAATCATTAAAGAAACTAAATGGGGGTAAGAAAAGCCTAAGAATAAACATGAAAAAGCAAAGCACTGTAAAAAGATTCTAATATTTCTTGTACAAAAATTAATTATATATCAGCAAACACAAAAATAATCTAAATAGCAAAATACATAATTTAAGTAAATGACGCATCACAGTTGAGTCAACCTTATTTGAAACACTTGTCAGACGATTCCAGGACAGAATTCTAAGAGGCAAGATTGTAGATAGAATGAAAAGCTATTCAATACATAATCAAATGAAAATGCTTGAGACCCAGGGAAAAATTTTTTTGGACGTTTTTCAATGCCCTAAATTTAAGCAGCTGGATTTTTTTAATACACCATCCTATTCAACCTTTTGAAACGATGGGTTTGCCTTTTAATGGGAAATCTGCATTTCATTGTAAAGACGGAACACAATGTCCTTGGCGTGTGCTGTGCAGAAGGAGGCTCTCTTTGTACTGCATTCTTTAGCATATAGAAAAGACCAAAAATCCAGCAAGTGTATGTCAGCTATTAAACAATGGAGAAATACACACATATGCAGTCGGGCAAACATGAAAAATGTAGTTTCATTCCCAAAGTATTAAATGTCATTTCTCCAAGGTTTTTGAGGACATGTTGCTAAATTATTTCATAATCAAGAGTTTTTAAGACTGACAAAGAAAGAAGAAAAAGAAGACGCAGACTGATTTGTTTAATTAAAGTTGTAAGTCAAATTAAAGTTGTAAGTCAAATGGAGAATTAAATGAGAGAGCAATGAAACAGTATATCATGAATGTTTCTAAAATTCTTGCTGCTTTGGAGAAAGAATGAAGTTCCTTCCGCTAAAAGAACATTTTGCATATGAAATATCTAAAATAAACAAAAGGAATACAAGAGGATAAAGGCTAAACAGAATTATAATTACCAAAATACAGTGAGTCTTAACCCCAGCTTAATTGAGACCTTCGCTACATAAGTTTGTTAGTTTTATTAAACTGCCTAATAGTGCACTGAGTAGTATGGCAGCCACCAGCCATGGGTTGCAACTGAGCACTTGAAATGTGGCCTCACTGGGAGGTGCTCTAAATGTTAAAAACACGCCAGATTTCAAAGCCTTCGTATGAACAAAACGATGTAAACCATCTCATCCTCTTATACTGATTATATGTTGAAATGCTATTTTACTACCTTGCGGCAAACAAAGCTTTGCTAAACGTAACTTGTAGGTTGACGTTTGCCGTGTTGAAGTGGCTGCTGGGTCACCTAACGAGACGTGTGGGTTCACGTCGACTTTCCAGTGAGTGCTGGGCCCACGTATTTGCCAGCACATTCCGTCCCCTCATCTGTCCAAACGATTTTTCTCCTCTGACCTCCTGTTTCCGCCGTCAGGTATTTTTCACTCTCCCAGTCACCCACTCTTAAACCTCACCATCCTTCCTGACGCATCGCCTCCCGTCACCTCCTTCGTGACAGCAAGACCGTCGCGGTGTCTGAAGCATCTGTCCGAGCTCCCCTGCCTGCCGTTCCCACCCCGTTAATCTAGGTCCCTGGCACCTCACACGCACATGGTCACACATGGCCTCCTACCTGGATTCCTTGCCTTCTATTACTTCTCACGTCACTTTTCTAAAACTACTCTATAAAATTCATTATGGTCCTTCAAAGTTTTCATAATTCTCATTATTATGCAAGAAAATCCACGGAACTCCTTAATGTGGCGATGGAAAACACCTATAACTTGGTCCTATCCTGATTTGTCACTATCTCCTTTACCCTTCCATAAGATATCTTCATATTCCAAGCAAATACCTCTTCGCCGACAGTCCTTTCCCGATTTGAAATACCCTTTCGACTTCTCTCTACCTCACCAGTTTATTATTTAGAGTCTAGTTCAAGCTCTACCTTCTGATAGTTTTCCCAAGTTCGTCACTGTCTCTCTGTCACTCCCCCATCTCTCTCATTTCGTACAATAGGTATTGTTTATTCTATTCATTTTGAATTGCACTTTAAGAGACACCTTCATCTTACAAATGCATTACATTAAAAATTTTGTGAAAACTTTCTTTAGCTGGAGCTCAGAATGCCCAGTCGATTCTATCGTTCAAGTAAGACGCATTAGCAAAGAAAAATAAAAAGGTAGAAAACGTTTTCGCAACGTATGTAAATAAAGAAGAAATAAAATTTGATATTTTAAGTATTTTATATTGAATAGACATTTTGGAGGAAGCACTTGTAAAATTCCAAAGAAAGATTTTTTAAAAATTTTTTTTTCGGTTTTATTGAGAAATAATTGACGTCCATCACTGTATAAGTTTAGGGCGTACAGCGTGATGCTTTAATTTACATGTACTGTGAAATGGTTACCGCAATAGGTTCAACTATCTTCCCATATAGTTACAATAAAAGGAAAAGAAAGGAAAAAAAGGACAAGGGAAAAAAATTTCTTTGTGATGAGAACTCCTAGAATCTGTTCTCTTAACAACTGTCCTACGTATCACACAGGGGCATCAGAGCCATCTGTGGTACCTTACGTCCCCAGTACTCACTTATCTCATTACTGGACGTTTGTAGCTTCTGACGAGCTTCCTCTAACTCCACCTCTTTCTAATCTCTGCCTCTGGTAACCACAAGTCTGAGCTCATTCTCATGAAGTTGTTGTTTTTTAAGATTCCACATGTAAATGCAATTATACAGTATTAGTCTTTCTCTGTCTGACTATTTCACTTAGCATAATGCCTTCAGGGTCCAGCCATGTTGCTGCACGTGGTTTTTTACAGATGAATAATAGTCCCTTGTGTGCGTGTGTGTGTGTGGATCACAACTTCTTTATTTATCCATCAATGAACACAGGTTGTTTCCATGTCTTGGCTATTGTAAATAATGCTTCTATGAACATGGGGATGCAGTTATCTTTTGAGGTCGTGTTTTCGCAACCTTTGGGTATATAGCAGTTCCCGCTTACTGGTGGGGGACACATTCTAAGCCCTCCAGCGGATGCCTGAAACTGCAGAGTACCGAACCCTATACATACTATGTTTTTCCCTATAGGTACATACCTATGATAAAGTATAATTTATAAATTAGGCACAGTAAGAGATTAACAACGACTAACAATAAAACTGAACAATTGTAACAATATACTCTAACAAAAGTTGTGTAAATGTCTCTCTCAAAGTCTCTTATTGTACTGTACTCACCCTTCTTCTCCTGATGATGTGAGATAAGATGCCAACATGACTAGATGAAGGGAGGTGAGTGACGTGAGCCTTGAGACGCAGCGTCAGGCATTACTATACGGCAGACTGTGATGCCACGACAGTCTGACAAGCAAGATGGCTGCTCGGTGACTGACCGGCGGGAGCCGGACAAAGGATGAGTCACATCCAGGCAGGACGGAGGGAGATGGCGCGAGATTTCCTCACTACTACTACTACTACTACTTGGAACAACGCACAATTTAAAACTAATAAATTGTTTATTTCTGGAATGTTCTATTTAATATTTTTGGACCACAGTTGACCTTGGGTAACTACAACTACAGAAAGTGAAGCCACAGATAAGTGGGGACTACTATACTCCCAGACGTGGAATCACTAGATCTATTTTTAATTTTTTGAGGATCCTCTATACTGTGTGAGAAATGATTTTTGGGGAGAGA